TCAGCAGCCTTGATGCCATGCCATGGGCTGATCCTTAAAAAAGAGTATTTTGGTAAACGTATACAAACTTTTTAAGGATATAGATGAAATGTTGAAATGTAAGTTGTGTGTCATACGAAAATACCTAAAATTTGTTTTCTTAATTTGTATTTTGCAGAGCAGTTGTTTAGTGTCCTCTCACGTATTCTTGACATTAGCATCTTGGTCATACTTTTGTGCTAACACTCTTGAAAAGGGTTTCATCCTCACTGCTAAGCTGTTTGAGTTCTGTGTACATATCTAAAAGTACCAATGATTGAGGTGATTTCAGGCTAATGACTTAAGACTTCAAAATAACATGAAGGATGCATATTCTCCCCCCCCCTTCGGAGAGGTTTTTGCCATAGGGCGTGTGCGCTTGCCAGAAAGAGAGAAAGCAAGAAATCTCCCCCCAGGGGATGGCCACACCGCAATCCCTTCTCCTCCTTTTTCCTCTCGGGATCTTGGACATGCGCGCGCACACCCAGCGTGACTTTAAGCAACCAGGTTCGGGACTTGAACCTCAGTCGACTACATGGGAGTCCAGTGACTTAGCCATTACACCAACTGCTGGTCCTGGGATGCAAATTCTTTTCAGTGGAGTAATGTGGACTAATTTTAGGGGATAAATTAACATTATTAGGTATATGTGGTTTACAACCATTGGATACTTGTACAGGCATAGTTGGTTTTTAGTTTATACAATATTGATACTGCTTAAATATGGTGAACTCCCAGCTACCTACACAGTTTCTGAAAATAGAATTGTGGGGCAGACAGTGGCAGCAGTAATGGGATGCTCTTGAGGTTGACCCACATGGGACGGGCTGGGGCTCAGCGCCCCAAGACCACTCTCTGCATGCTGGGTGCGTGTGTGCCCATGACCTAGGCCAGATGAAGCCTGGTGGGCCACAGTGCAAAGACCCGGTGGGGCGCTTTTTTCTTTGTCTCTAGCTCATGAAATAATTTTTTTGTCACATGCCGTGTGTGTTCACTGGAGAGAGAGAAATCACTCCCAAAGGGTGATAAATAGATGAATGAATGAGAAATGAAGGGAAAGTGATTGTGGCGTGACCATCCCCCAAAGGGATGGGCTGCTTTCTCACCCTCTGGAGCAAACGTACCCTGTGGCGAACACACAAGCCCTATAGCAAAATCCTCTACAAAAAAAAATAATAAAATATGGGAGGAAGAAATTATTCACGAGGACCAACCTTTTAAAAAATTAGGTCTGATCAATACAATTTTAAGAGCAGGATCTACAGATTCCTAGTTAGCAATTGCTATTGAAGAGAAACGGGATAAGGGTCAGATTGCTGATGCAGTGTGCAGGGGAGAGTCTGCGAGGCCCGAGTCTGACGCTTTGCTACACGCCTTTCCCGAGTCTTAGAACAGGAAAGGGTCCCTCATGGGTGAGAAGGCTCCTTTGAAGTACCCTTTGGAAGAATTAAAATAATTACATTCTTTTTTTTTGGGTGAGGTTTTTGCTATAGGGCGCGTGCACTCACCAGAGGGTGAGAAATCACCCCCCAGGGGGGATGGCCACACCGCAATCCCTTCTCCATTCTCCTCTTGGGATCTTGGGCACGCACGCGCACGCACACACGCCCGGCGTGAGTTCGGGTCCCGGACCTGAACCTCGGTTGATTACATGGGAGTCCAGCGACAGCCATTACGCTAACTGCTGGTCCCAAAATAATTGCATTCTTAAAAATACTGCAATCTTGGGACCAGCAGATGGCAGCATAATGGCTACGTCACTGGACTCACACGTAGGTAAACCGTAGTTCGAGTCCTAGACCTGGTGGCTTAAAACTCATGCTAGGCATGGGACCAGCAGATGGCGTAATGATTACGTTGCTGGGCTCCCATGTAGTTGACTGCAGTTCAAGTCCTGGACCTGGTAGCCTAAAACTCAAATCAGGCATCTGTGTGTGTGTGTGCGTGCACCCAAGATCCCGAGGGAGGAATGGAGGAGAAGGGATTGTGGCATGGTCAACCCCGTTGGGGAGTTTTTTCTCCCTTTCGGTCTCTGTCTTGTCTTTGTCTCTCAGTGACCATACACACTCTATAGCAAAAATCTCTCTTTGGGGGATCAGCAGTTAGCGTAATGGCTGTTACTGGCCTCCCATGTAGTCAACAGTGGTTTGAGTCCCAGACCCGGTGGCTTAAACTCACACCCGACGCGTGTGCGTGCATGCCCAAGATCCTGAGAGGAGAATGGAGGAGAAGGGATTGTGGCATGGTCAACCCCCTTGGGGAGTGATTTCTCACTTTCTGTCTCTGTCTGTCTCTGTCTTTCTGGCAAGCACATGCGCCCTATAGCAAAAACCTCTCCAGAAAAAAAATTTCTGGTAAATGTAGAACTGGCATACAAATCTAACATTAAATGTCGTTTTATTGACGTGACAAATAATGAGCAGGTATCAGAAACTGGTAGTTATGTCTTCTAGGAGGAAACACACGCAGCAGAAACAGAAATTTTAACCATTACAATACTTGGTTTTGATGGAGATTGCGTCTTGTCCAAGGCAACAAAACCTGAAGTTGCAGTCCCCTACCCCCCCCCCCCCCC